CGTTACAGCTGTTTGCTTTGGTTTCAGACAGCTTCAGAAATAAAAGAAGAGTGATGAGTTTTCTTACTGTGATCAGCAGCCGTTCCTGCAGACCAGGTCAGCAGACAGAGACACACGAGAGGAAGAAGATCCATAGTCTTCCTCTGAGGATGAAACATCAGCTCACTGATCAGCTCTCTTTAGAACGGAACCTCAGACACTCCTCACTGCGTACACACCGATCTCAAACACTTTCGGTTTCACAGTTTCTGCAAACTGCAACGATAGCGTCACTTCCGGAAGCCCTTCAGAATAAAAGCGTAATCTTTAATAACTATCAATGATGCAGAAGAACTGCTCAATTTACCTGTTAGAATCCACCTGAGCGGTACTTTAACTTCACATGAATAAAAGTGCATTGGTGTATTAAATTAGATAAGCCCGAAGTTACTAATTACAATGATCTAATATAAAAACAAATATCTTATATCATAAATCCAATATTAAAGCAGAAATGTCAATAATTCTCCTGACCTGTACTTTATCAACAGAAACTAAACCTGTTTGAGGCAGTTTCTCCAGAATAAAAGTAAGTGAGGAAATGAATGCTCTTCTCTGAAAAACTATTAAAGTTCCTTGATAAGCAGTGAAAGTTTGATTTGTTGAATTTCTTTAATAAAATACATATTTTTGGGTGTATTTCTCCTCGACAGGGCAGCTTGAGAGATGGACAGGAGAGGGGAGGACATATAGTAAAAGGTCTACAGGTCAGACTCAAGATCTTAACCTTGGTACCTGAGGTCCTACCGGGTTAGATACTAGAGACACCAAAATAAATGTATTTAAAATAAAACCAAACTGTGAATGAGAATACTGACATTATGTTGCTGAAATGTTTTGTGTTAATATAATTCTCCACCTAATAGATATCATCTCATCATTTATTTATTCATTATGTAAACAGTTTAAAGTTACAGTAACAGATATTTCTGTAAATGTGCCAGTTTAACCGTCCTGACTCATTTTCATCTGCAGTCTCTGGACAGATGTAATGTCAGACACAAAGGACACTTCATACAAACACATAAACCATTCAAAACAAGGACAACAATACACAGAACATACAACAAAGCACATAAACAACAACAATGTTATCTGGATAAGTTAGAAGTTATGGAGTAATTGTCCTTTAATCAGGATTTTAAGTTGATTTTAAATCCCTGATGTGTGTTACAGTCTCTGAAGTGTCTGAACTTTACGTTTATTTACCTTGTACACTTTATTTAACTAATGTATGATTACAGTCTGTCCGCTGGCATTGTCTGTTTATTTACTGTCAATGTTTACGTTTGTAAATAAACTTTATTTTTAAAGAACCTGAAGAGGAAGCAAGGTTCACTTCCGGGAGAGGTCGGTGAGGAAAAGTTTTCCAAGCAGCCATCATCACAACATCGATAGTTAACGTTAGTTTTTAGTCCCTCAGCTTTAATTCAGGAGGACAACTAATGAGAATGAAGCAAACAGCTCTGAAGGATGTATGTGTCTGTCTGCTGATATCAGCTGGAATAATATTTGGACATGAAACCGGTAAGAAAGTCAAACACTATATTCACTTAGTGTTAGCTAATGTGAGCTACTGAGAGCTTACAGTTACTGATTAGTCCACTGCAACAACTCACCCTCAAATAAAGATTCAATACACAATCATAACAACAATAACATGAAAACAACTTTATAATACTTATTTAAACACGTTTATAACTGTTAGAGAGCATATTAATAGAATTAGGTCGGACCTTAAAGAATAAAAGCACACAGCCAATAAACAATTTATTTATTTATTATTGCTTAAAGTTAAACTAACAGTGGTATGTGAAGTGTGTGTGTGTGTGTGTGTGTGTGTGTGTGTGTTATCAGCTGGTTGTAGAGAGAACAGGTACTGAGCTGAGTCTTTACCCTACAACACACTCATTATCAACGCTGGTTCAGCATCCACATGTTGTTGTTGTTGTTGTTGTTGTTGTTGTTGTGACGCACTGTTAAATTCATTTAATAAAGAGTGCATCTCCATTCTCAACCAAAGTGCAGTTTAAAACTAGGAAACAGAAACCTGATAGACTTCCCTGGTAGAATGAGCACATAGTAACCTTAAAAACCAAATGTTTATTTATTGTTGTTGTTATGAGCCTATTTCTCTGAATTAATATCCAGAAACAAGCACAATCCTAAAGCTGTCTTTAGGGTAATTGGCTCTGTTATCAGCGGTCCCTCCGCTTCTTGTTCTGATCCAGAGAAACAAATACATACACGTGAAAAGTGTGTTTATGCCACTTTCCACGCAGGTTTCCAAATGTATAAAAGGTGGTGAAAATGCGCATGCTGTTACACATCTTTAACATCACGTAGTCCTTGGAGTCATAGTCGCCAAATAAGTGACATTTTATTTAGAGCTGTATTCTTTCAGTGCACTGTGTTAGGATGCAAGCTGCAGTTTAAAAACTCCACTAACATAGGGATGTGTGTTATTAAGGACCTTTTTTGACTGGCCTTGATTTCTTTCTATCAAGTGTGTTTGTCACTGCATTATAATAATTATGATGTTCATCTTTATATAAATAATGAATAAGAATAATTTATACCTTCAGGTGTGAGTGACCAATTGACAGGTTGTTAAAGTGCCACTATATTAGGGGTTGTAGACGTTCATACCAGAGTTTAGGGATCCAAATAAACGTTTTACCTCCAGTTCACATTCTGTAAAACTGAGCTTCTTCTTATTCAGTTGCTTTTTCCCTCCTTCTGCCATTTCTCCTCTAAACTCCTCTAAATGCTGAGCCTTCATATGTAAATCAGGCAGTTGGGTCCTTTTTAAGCCATTTATAGTAAATGGTGGGAATGGTCAGAAGGCTCGTGCAGGTTTCAGACTGCGTGTTTCCTGTTTTGTGGGTACACAGATTTCTACACCTAAATATACGAGAGTTTAATGCATCTGGCCCCAGATGTTGAGCAATCTGAAGAGTTCATTGGTCATTCTTTGAATAAGGTGGAGAATATGAGGTCCAGTCTGACTCTTCTCCATCCTCCCAATGTACTCTAACACATTCAGTTGTAGAGAGTACAGTGTCCCGCATGAGCTCTTGCACCTTGGGTATCATGGATGGATGTGCTCTCAAAACTGAGCTTCTGTTTCTAACAATATATCAAAACAATGGAGAAAAACTGAGCTGAATATTTACTCATTTCTGCATCAATCTGTTATCATATCTATTAGATTGATCATTTATATCTTAATGATTGTTCTCTATTAAAACTAATGATTGAAATATGTTTCATCTTTCAGGTCCAGCTGTGGTCAGAGTGGTTGTGGAAGTCGGCAGTGATGTTGTTCTACCCTGTTCTCTCAGCTCCAAGGAGAACATCGTAGATAAACTGTTTGACTGGAGGAAAGATGGTCAGAGGAAGAAGGAGGTGTTCTATTATAATGCAGGCATTCATTACAATAATGGCCATGATGGTCAAGATCAGCAGTTCAAAGGTCGAGTTTCATATTTTTCTGATCAACTGAAGAACGGTAACGCCTCCATAAAGATCAGAAATACGAAGATGACTGACAGTGGAAACTACACCTGTGATTTTCCTCGTCTTCAACCAAGTCAGATCTTCTACATTGAGCTTGTTGTTGGTGAGTTTCTGATGTATCTTGTCATCCGTCTCATTACTAAATGGTTCAAACATGCAGCTCCCTTATTAAATTTGTGTGAATTATGTCATTTTCCCCACTACATTTTATTACATTAATATGCCAGCGACATATACAGTCATGGACTTTTCCCGAAAATGCACCATTTCTCCCAGAAAAGTGTTGCAATTACAAATGTTTGGGTATACACATGTTTATTTCCTTTTAAGTGCATTGGGACAACACAAAAAAGCAGAAGATTTGGTCGGACAAAATCATTGGCACCCTCAACCTAATATTTGGTTGCACACCCTTTGGAGAAAATAACTGAAACCAATCGCTTCCTATAACCATCAACAAGTTTCCTACACCTCTCAACTGGAATTTTGGACCACTTTTCATTCTGTTTTCTGTAAACAGTAGAATGACGTGCTTTGCTAAAAAGCTCTACCGTAGTCTGATTTGTCCACAAAACATTCTCCCAGAAGGATTGGGGCTTACTCAGGTATGTTCTTGCAAACTGCAGTCTGGCTTTTTTGCCTCTGTGTCAGAAGTGGGGTTCTCCTCGGTCTCCTGCCATAGCGCTTCATCTCATTCAGATGACGACGTATGGTTCGAGCTGACACCGTTGCACCCTGAGTCTGCAGCTTGAATTTGTGTGGAAGTTGACTGAGGTTGTTTATCCACCATTCCAACTCTCCTGCGTTGCATTCTTTCATCAATTTTCTCTTCCGTCCACGTCCAGGGAGATTTGCCACAGTTCCATGGGTTATAAACTTCTTGATTATATTGCGCACAGTTGACAAAGGAACTTTAAGATCTCTGGAGATTGACTTGTAACCTTGAGATTGTTGATATTTTTCCACAATTTTGCTTCCTAAGTCCTCAGACAATTCTCGGCTCTTCTTTCTCTTCTCCATGGTTGGTGTGGCACACACAGGCACACAACACAAAGGTTGAGTCAACTTTTATACACTCTAACTGGCTTCAGTTTCGATTTCTATATATTGCCAGCACCTGTTACTTGCCACAGGTGAGTTTAAACGAAGATCACTTGCTTGAAATTAAATTATTTACCCACAGTTTTAACAGGGTGCCAATGATTTTGTCCAGTCGATTTTTGGAGTTTTGTGTAAAAGGATTTTTTCTTCTGCTTTTTTGTGTTGTTCCAATGCACTTAAAGGAAATAAACATGTGTATACCAAAACATTTGTAATTGCAACACTTTTCTGGGAGAAATGGTGCATTTTCTGGAAAAATTTCCAGGGGTGCCAATACTTTCGTCCATGACTGTATGTTCATAATATCACTCACTGTAATTAATGTTCTTATTGTGTTTCAGAGCTTACCATTAAAGACCGTTCAGGAGAAATCACAGGTGAGTGATGATGTCTCACTGATATCTATATCTGTAACCCTGTTAGATACCCAGCTTATGAGTAGTTAGTGACATCATCAGCATGATTTCTCCTGATCTGTCTTTTAAGGTAGGACTCTGTGGGTCACTATCTAAAGGGCCCCTCAGCCTTAATGGAGAGCAAAGTTGTCCTTAACAAGCTTTTCTTTATATTGTGTTCACAGGAGCTCCAAAGCCGTACATCTGGACACTGAATGTCACAGAGGACAGAGTGCTGCTGCAGTGTGAAGTTCGAGGTGCTTCTCCACAACCTAAAGTAGAGTGGAAGGACAGAGCTGGAAACATCCTTCCTGCTGAGGAGCCACAGGTCTCAGACAGAGGAGGACGTTACTACGTTACCCTCCTCACCACTGTGACCAAGACCGACCACTACCGCTGTGTAGTCACACAGGAGGAAATCCACCATCAGACTCATTCTGAGACCTACGTGTTCATCAATGGTGAGATTTCTTTCAAATCATTTTCATTGTTCATGAGTTTATTAGTTTTCAAATATTTTTAGACCCCTTTAATTGTTGTTGTGTGTAGTCTATGAGCAGTGTGCTGTACATGATCTGCAGTTACAGTTTGAGTGTTACATTAACCTTTTGTGATGTGTTTCAGAGAAACTGTGTGAGGAATCATCCAGCAAAGAGCTCATTGGATGGTTGGGTGGATTGTTTAGTGGATTGGTTTTAGGAGTTTTAACTCTTGCTGCAGTTCTTGTAGCTAGAAAGCACATCAAAAGAAGTCTTATTAAAGGTAAGTTTATATAATGTATCAACATAATCCAACAGATCCACTGAGACTATCACGTCCAGAGACTTTGACAGTTTGTTTTTGTCTTCTCAGATATGAACCATTCTGTTAGATAAGATAAGACAAGATAAGATATATCTTTATTAACCCCCTGTAGGAGAAATTCAAGTTTGTATTTACATGAGACCAGCAGCTATATTTATAATGAAGTAATTGATCAATTGAGCCAAAAATGGCAAACATGGTTCCTATGGAGCCCTCAGAGGAGCATATGATGGTAAACATATTGGCATATTATTGAACTATTTTATGATCTTTTATAGTTTGAGAACATAAAGCTTGAAGTCACTCATTCATTTACAGGTGTATTTCAATAAATTAGAATATCATGGAAAGGTTCATTGGTCTCAGGGTAACACTGAGCATCGAGAGTCATCTGTAAAACAAATGAATTCATCAGCTGACTAAAAACAACTTTTGAATCTCCACTGTGTACAGTTTGCAGACTTTTGACAAACAGATTCTTCTCTGTAATATAAAAGTTAACTTTATGTAATATATCCTTTTTTCTTCTCTGCAGGTTCTCATCAGCAGAGCAACGGTGCTTCTATAGCTCCTTCTAACGCTTCTTCTAACGGTTCTTCTGACGGTTCTTCTGACGGTTCTTCACAGCCACTTAACCCACCACCTGTTTGATAGGTTCATGTTGTGGAGGGGTGTGTGCTGTACAGTGTACATATGCAGTCTACAACCACTTTGTCTTCCTACCCTTCAATACTCTGCAGTAATCAGATGTAGTTGATGAGTTGCACCTCGACCGTGAATACCACCACAGTAACTGCTTGTAAACCAACTTGACCCAAAGGCTCATGTTGGAGCAGGAATTGGACGTGAAATCAGGGGAAATGAACAACATCAATCAAGATTACAGGTTTATTAGGATTACAGGACGTTTTCCTCAGGTAAATTCTGCCAAAGTATTTTATATCTGTGCCACTTAATGTTAGGTTAGTGTTGATACCTACACTCTCTACGGTCTTAGATATATTTCAACATAAGGCAGCTCAAACAACAAAGACCATTTTTATTACAGGGCTTTTGTATGAATGAATTGTATTGTCCTGTATTTCTTCTCACACTGTTGTCCATGAAGACTCAAAATGTAACTTTATGCTGGACTGTTAGATGTATTATAGCACATAAATGAATAAGATGAAGCAACATAGACAACAAAACAGGAAAACACTTGTGATAAATAATGAGGGAAAATTACTGATAAAGCTAAAGAGACAGAGAGATCATATTGTATGGCATTAAATCCAAATTTTTAGTTCTCAAAGGTTTCAGAACAAAAAGGTCAGGTACACTAAATAGATATATATTAATGACACTGTAACAGAGCAGAGAGATAGTGGGTTGATTCGTCAGAACAACAGATTCCTGAATCTATGATGTGTGTGAATATAAAGTAACTTGTAGCTTAATCATGCTGTGCCTTAAAACAAGAGACAAAACTTAAATACAACCAAAAGGAAGTTTGTGAAGTGAAGCAGTAATGGTTGATATCATGGATGTTGAGCATTAATAGTCTGAATGAGCTTGTGAGAAGAGACTTTTAACTACTATTACTACTATTTATGCAGATCAGATTCCTAACTGAAGGAAAAAGGGAAAAGATTGTAAAGAGAAGGTAGAGTTAAACTCACACTGGTTTTAATTCTTAAAAAAGGTCTATTGACATGGGAGGTCCAGCTGAACTTGCTTGTAAATATTTTATAGTATATATTGTCAGCTATCTTCTGTGTTGCTTCAATGTGCCTTGTTGTGTTTGTCCACTGTAATATACTCTGACTGAATGTGTATTATTGATGCTGACTGCCATTACAGATAGTGAGCATACACACACATTATAGAAGATGGTGTGTGTTTACTATTAGTTATTTGTATTGGAAGTTTCATGTTTTTATTCAGGTGCCATACTGAAATATAGTTTGACCAAACCAGCTGTGCTTTCACAAAGTTTTCAATGTTTCCAAGGTGTCTCTCTCATATTGGTGCTTTGTTAAATTTCCTAAGCAATAGTGAGGCATTACAATCATCATGACTGACACTCCGATTGTGTAAATAAACTTTTTGAACAAACCTTCCTGATTGATGACTGGATGCTTTTATTTTGAAGTGATTATTGATCTGCTGCAGCAGCTGTTTTTGAATACTTAAAGTCTTACTGAAGACTAAAAACAAGTTCTTTAGAGTCATTTTATATTTATATTGTGAGTAATAGAGTTAAGATGAGTGATTTCTGAAGCTGAACAACAGCTGCTACAGAGGTCCTGGTTAGTTCTGTTTCTGTGTGAAGCTTTAAGCTGTTGGGTTTTTGGCTGCTGGACATTTGGTTAATGACTCTCCCTCACTGATCTTCAGGTTAAATGTACTACAAGCAGTTTAAGTGGTTATGAAACAGTCTCAGTTTAATACTGATGTCTCTATATGACCGACACAAACAGAGAGGAGATTGGCTGGTTCTATACAGTTACTCTGGATGGATGACCCCGGGTCAGATTTGGTTGAATTCACTTGAAATCAATAAAACAAAGAGGTGGAAACACTACCACTTTTAACCACATGGGGTCACCAGATCAACACAGAATCAAAGTCCCTTGTTGCTGCTTTAAGATCACAAACTTATTAAGATTGATCATAGAATTAAAGCTCCTAAAAACAGAATCCTCCTGATTCAAAAGATGACAAGATTTGTTTGCTGCTTGTTACTAACATGTTACTGTTGTAGCTGCTCCAGGTGGAGGTAATTTAACTAACTACTAGCTTGTTCATTCAGTGGTTCTCAACCTAGGGTCAGTCCCCTCCAAAAAGGGTCACCAGATAAACCTGAGGGGCTGTGAGATGATTAATGGGAGAGGAAAGAACAACCAACACAAATCTACAACCTTCCCCTCTGAACTGAAATTCATCAGGCTTTATAATAGTGGAGCTGTGACTATTAGTGTTCACTGCTGTACCATCCCTGCTTCAATAAGATAACAGGCGGCAGCAGCAGGGTGGGGATGCACAGTGTGAGATACATAGTTAGCTTCAATAGAAAGAGCAATCAAATAATCATCACATTGGTTCTTTCTGAGATCATTCACTGTGGCTTTATGTGACTGACAGGTGGAGCAGAGACTCTTCTCTCACTAAGATGAATAAAACATCTGATCATTTATCAATTCTCTATTGTGGGCAATAAGGCGAGGGCAATATAAAGACATTTTAGCTGCTAAATATCCACATTAAGATTGGGACAAAACAGAAAATAAATAAATTGTGGACTCCACATCTCCACGTCTCTGGATTGTGCACTGCAGTGATTCCTGTATTTGAACTGTCAGAAACTGATTAAAGTGAAACTAATGCAGATTCTCCTCCAGGATTTTCTGGCTTAAGAAAAGTAACAGGACAGATGTACAGACCTGGATCAAGGACTAACAGAGGCTCAGACGATCAGTTGAATTTGGCATATTGCCAGGACTGGTAGATTCTGGTGAGACCTTCTCCAGTGTTGGAATGAACGGTCACACTGTCGCCTTATGCACACAAATCAAGCGTGTGTCACACACAGTGTTAGGTTCTACTACCAACCAATAATTACTCCCACTGTTAAGAAAATGAAGGGCAATTGAGGAACATTAAAACATTTATTACAGCCAATAAAATCACAGTATAAAAACATGTTCAGCCTTTAAAGTGTGAAATAAAATGATTAAAATGGCTTAAATCAATCAGTGTGACACAGTACCAACAGTTTCAAAGGCCCTCTGCTGTTGTTCCACCTTTGGGAGGAGCCGAGCTTTCTCCTCCAACATCAGTGCCTGACCTCTTTTAGCTGAATGTGCAAAACCTCCCAGAAGAGTGGCGGCTGTTAGAGCGTTGCTGCATGTCTTTCTGTCCGCGCCTGCTTAACTATCACAAGTTGAGTCTAGGTTTAGGTTGGAGGGGGTAACAGCATCTCAGCTCTGGTGTTTAGTGTAGTTCTTGGTAGTAGTTTGATAATTCCTGATTTTGTGTATTCAAGTTATATAGATATACTCATTGTTGGATGTTATGATTAATTCTTTGAATGCATAAATTATATAAAATTAAATATTTTAACTCACATGCAGTCTCATGTTCATTTATTAAAATATATGTGTGCTCATTATTTTACTAATTTGTTTTGTTTAGGTATATATTCATTTTTAACATTGTGCACATTCCCCTTTAATAGATAATCATCTTTTGTTATTGTACTAATTTTACATCATAATCTTACTTAATTAATTCATATGTTGTTAGTGTTTACTAATTATTTTTCACCGTGTTAATGATCTTAAGTAAGCCTCAGTTGCTCTGTGTGTGTGTGTGTGTGTGTGTGTGTGTGTGTGTGTGTGTGTTAGAGCAGCACCTGCTAAAGACTATGGACGAAACAGATGATTGTCTCAGGGGGTTTATATGTTTGTATCTGTGTAACACACAACACCCTCTATCCTTGGAATGAACTTCTATATTCATAAAGGTCGGGATTAACAGAAATGTGCAGTAGGTAGTAGTGCGCATGCTCTCACTCATGCATAGCTCCGGCAAAGTTTTACAGACAAAGGAAACAGCGACACCAGGTGGTCAGATCATGAAATAAAGCTCAGTCCTCATGAAATATAAAATACAC